GCCGGCAAGCTGCAGGCCATCAAGCAGGAGCCGGTGGAACTGGAGGGCTATGCCCGAGAGCCCCGGGACGACCCCGGCGCCTACCGGGCGGCCGTGTATCAGAACTACGTGGGCAGCTCTTTCCCTGCCTACTCACACTCCCCGCCTCTCCTGCCGGCCAGCCGGTCCTCCAGCAACTCCCCGAGAACGTCGGAAACCGATGATGGTGCCGTGGGAAAGTCCTCGGACGGAGAAGATGAGCAGCAGGTTCCCAAAGGCCCGATCCACTCGCCCCTCGAGCTGCAGCATGGACATGCCACGGTGGTTAAAGTCCCGGAAGCGAACTCCTCTGCTTTGCCACACAAGCTCCGCATTAAAGCCAAAGCCATGCAGATCAAAGTAGAGGCGCTCGACACTGACTTTGAGGCCACTCACAAACTTCCCTCGCCCGTTGGCACGACGGCCAAGAGGCATTTCGGACTGGAGAAGCTCGGTGCCCCAAGTGCGGGCCATCCCCCCCTCACGCCTTTTTCAGTGCAGGTGACTAACATCCAAGACTGGTCTCTCCGGTCGGAACACTGGCATCAGAAAGAACTTATGGGCAAAACTCAGAACAGTTTCAAGACTGGAGTTGCTGAAATGAAAGACAATGGCTACAAAGTGTCCGACCCAGAGAACTTGTTTTTGAAGCAGGGCATAGCAAACCTATCTGCAGAGGTGGTCTCGCTTAAGAGACTTATAGCCACACACCAGATCTCTGCTTCCGACTCGGGGTGAATTACTACTGACCAGCCTCTCCCGGGGAGGCGTCCCGGCCGCCATGCGTGCGTTCTGTATCAGGCTGTTTCCCTGGACCTGTGATGTCATTTCACTGTACTGTTCACACGTTGTCTGTCAGGTCTCTTTTTCTGCACAAATTATTATGAAGATTAGATTGTGTTATCACCCTGCCTTGTGTATAGTCAAATAGTCCATGAAAAGACTGTATATACTGAACATTATTTTTTTTGTTCTATTAGAAAGTGTGGAAGTTACCAGTTTCAATAAAGGATTGGTGACAAACACAGAATTTCTGCTCCGTTGCACTTGATTTGAGGGTAAAGAAAAACCATTTAGATATTTAGTATTCTGCATTTTACTTATTTAGGGGTGCTTTCCCCCCTGAGTAAGGGAAAACTGGAGTGTAAGTTCAGCAAATAATTTGTTTTTCTTCTAATTTGGCCCCGGCTATAAATGAAAATCAAAGAGAGGGGGAAAGTAACAATGAGTTTTGTTGCATTTGAGACTACTTTGCTAGTTTGCTCCCCATTATCTGTTTTTCTTTAAAGCTAAGTTTTCTTCATATTTTTTTAACTAGAAAAATCCAATATTTTTGGCATCAGCTTGTCTTTAGTCATCTCTCTTTAAGTATGACACATGGGTGTGAATAGTTGAGTCACTGACCCACTTTATTAATTAGAGGTTTTTTAAAAGGGTGAATAAAGACTAGGGATGAAGTCATTTTTAAAATGTTATTGTAAATCTTAACAGTTCTAGAGTAGTCATCTAGGGAAGTAACCTAATGAGATTGTTTTTATTTAGTTTCCAAAATTTTAAAGAACATATCAGTTATCACATTTCAGCATACACGGTCTGAGTCTATGTAACGACTTGTGTTTTTTATGATTTGTCAATGAATATAAATAATAGTTCTAGTTCAGAACTCTTCATAATGCACAAGCCCAGAAGAAAGCCTCCTGAGTAAGTGGATGGGAAGACCGACCATCATGGTGATTAGTCGGGGCTGTCAGGCACAGGCTGCGTGTTGTCCGGCAGCCTCTGGCGCCGGCGCGGTGGGTGTGGGTGCTGTTGGTCAGGCACAGCGGCGTCCATAGCTCCGCCCTCAGAACTGTCTCTTCCCCGCCGACCTCTCTCCTCCAGACGTTGGTCAAGGGACTTGAGGCATCACAGAGCGGGTGCGCAGCGGCCAGCCCTCACTGCCACCTGTACCTCAGGGGGCCTTTCCCAAGAGCCCAGGCGTAGCACTTCGTTTGAAGGGTCTACAGTGTTGGCACGGCTCCACTCGAGTAAAAGCCTGGTTTTTGTGTTAAACTTCCTGCACTTTCATGTTTTAAGAAAGTAGTCCTTTGACGGAAAGGCAGTGCCAGCTACACACGTGCCATCCACTTTGTCCTGCTGGCCACAGTGACCACTTTTCTCTCTGAAATCTCCTGGCTCTTAGAGAAATGAGTTCCTGGCCTTGGCCTCGGCCTTCTCTCGTCAGTATTTTATTAGTGACTGGGTGGGGCCCAGAGGCTTTGCCAATGTTGCAAAGCACAGGGGGGCTTAGATATTGGATGGGAATCAGAACCCAAAAGCATCTAACCGTCTGGAATGGATGGAATGACTAACAACATGAGTTATAATAGGGATACAGTGGAAAGTTAGGTTTCTATGTTAAATGAAAAAATGTAGGTCCCTGCACACGCAGCCTGGCATGGGGTGCTGCTACAGGACTCGGACCAGGACCGAGAGGAGCGGAAGCTGCTGCTGGACCCGCCTGGCCCCCCCGCCCCCCACCAAAGCCCTCCATGGAGCTGAGCCCACTGCACAGCCTTCTGCTCGCACAGATGCGCAGGTCCTGCTCTCCACTCTCACCAGGACAGCCAGCAACATCACCGCCGCGTCCGCCGCCGATTCCCAGGGCATGGAGCAGCGTGAGTGCCTGGGCCGGGCTCCGGGACGGCACCCGAGTGCCTGTGCTGAGCAGCAGCCTGGCCCATTGGAAGAAGCTGCCGCCGCTGCCATCTCCCCCGGTCAGCCCGCCAGGCGCTGCCAGCGAGCCCACCCTGTCTCCCACCTGCAGCCTCCAGGAGGGCTGCTCCGGCCTGCAGTGCTCTTCCTCAGACCCGCGTGGGCGCAAGAGAGGCGCTGCTCGTACTGTTCGGGTCCCATGAAGACAGGGCGCTTGGACAGCTCTTCTCCCGCCTTCACCCTGCCTCCCCTGGCCCGGCCTCCCGCGGCCGGTACAGTACCACCTGCTGCCATCACGGAGAAGAGCGTGGAGGAGGAGGAGAGCGGGCTGGAAGCCTGAACAAGTGAGGATGGAGCAGGAGAGGGTAGAACCACTGGCCTTCGAAGCCCCGGCCAGGGGTGGGTGGGGGTCAAAAGGCCAGGGCCGGGTAGGTCTGCACTGTCACCGGGAAGGAGTGAGGGTGACCACTAGGGGCCTAGGCGGGCCTTTCCCACTCGTTCCCGTGGCCTCGCTCCTGGCCCCTCTCCCTGACTTGGTGCTCACAGGCACCTCACGAGGGTTTGTGACCAGTGTCTGGGGAGCTTGAATTTGAATTAATTGATTTGTATCTCTAGCACCCTGGGTTTTTACATGTTTGGTGTTTGGTTGTTTTTTTTGGGGGGGGGGGTATCTCCCTTGATAAAGGAAATGTATTAAATTTAAAAAATTTAAAGGCTGGCTAAGTTCACAGTTGGGGAAAAACAGTAAGATAACTAGGCATATGGAGGGGCTTCAGTTCCCTGCAGCTTGCGCATCACCGCCCAGTGGCACGTTGGCTATGGCAACACAGACAGCGCCCAGACACGAAGGCCACATCCTGCCCGCGGCCCAGAGGCGCAGCAGCCGGCGCTCAAGGCACCCTGTGAAAGGGAACGTGTTACGAAAACTTGATAAATTTCCCCCAAGAGGGATGACCCTTCTTCTCTGAGGTCCTGGGAGGGGGAAGGACAGGCGGACTGGCCGAACGGCAGGGCCGAGCTCTGTGGGAGGAGGGTGGCGGGCAGTGTGGCCGCAGCCTGGAAGGCGTCTTCTGAGCAGCTGTTGGGAGTGCTGCCTAGTGAGCGTGTCCCCCGATGCCCTCTCCTTAGTCAGTTTTCCTATGATTTCAAGAATCTAAGATGTGGTTGGGATGATGTTCAAAACGTTACACCTTAAAAATAAATGGATGTCCAGCCAGCATGGCTCAGTGATTGAGCGTCGGCCTGTGAACCAGAAGGTCAAGGTTTTATTCCCAATCAGGGCACATGCCCAGGTTGTGGGCTCGATCCGTAGTGTGGGCGTGCAGGAGGCAGCTGATGAATGATTCTCTCTCATCATTGATGTTTCTATCTCTCCCTCTCCTTCCTCTCTGAAATAAAAAAACAAAACAAAAACAAACAAACATTAAAAAAGTAAATAAATAAAAGGATGGCATAAACTAGCAATCCTCTCCCCAGTCCTTCTGTCATGGTATGAGCTGAGGAATGCTGCGCCTCCCCCTCCGCTCGCAAAGCTCATAGACGATGTAGGATGGTTTACGGCCGAATGAACCCGTCACTGCACTCAGGCGAGCAGCAGAGGCCGGAGCAGCAGAAGTCAAACACTCCCAGAAGGTGCTGTCCGGCGGGGGCACCGCGGCCGGCAAAGCTGCTGCCTCCAGGGCCGCCCCCACGGGGCACGGAGGAGGGCGGCCACAGGTCAGCCGTGGGACATTGTGGCAGAAACGGTGCGTTTCTCTCCACTGCCCTGCACAGGCGAGCAGGAGCAGAGGGTGTGCATGTGGGCTCACAGAGGCAGGCCTGCGGCTCAGCCCTGGCCCCTGTGGAGTGCAGCAGGCATCCCCACGCAGCCCCCATCAGCACACCCTCCTGTGGCCACAGTGTCTCCTTGTTATTTTTGCTGCTGTGCCCATTCTATAAAGGAGAACATTGAGACCGAGAGGTTAACTCGCCAAAGCTCCCGTGGCAGCCGAAGCCAGGCCCGGGAGCGGGAAAAGGCTGCCAGCTGCAGAGTGCCCCTGGCCCGGGCCCTGCAACGGCCGAGGGCAGGCCTCAGGGGAAGGGGCGTCGCAGGACGTGTCTGGTGGGAGAGGCCTTCTCTCTGGGACTCAGTGAAACTGCTCTCTGAACACCTATTTCCTACTTCCTAAGAACTCTGTTTGTTATCTCCAAGGCACAAATACTCCCCAATGAGAACAGCACGCCTGTCTCCGTTCACTTGGCGTTCACACATTACCTCTCCTGAGACTCAATCCCTCGCCGCCGGGCTCCGTCACTCTTCAACTCATTTTTTAAACCCAGACACTTTCCCTCAAAAATGAGAATCACTGGGGCTCCACTTGGTTTTTGGAATGACTTGCACAGTGGCCCCCTGTCTGTGAGCCCCAGAAACATTTAAAGGAGAAAAACTTGCCAAGAATGTGAGATTGTGGGATATTCAGGATAACAGCGAGGACGGGGAGAGGAAAGGACCTTCAGAACGGACTGCAGTCTAGAATGTGAACTGGGGTCTTCACGGGAGGCCACCGTGTCAGCAGGTGTGGCGGCGGCAGCGTGTGCACGGAGCCCTGAGACCGAGCCCAGGGCCTGGGGTGGACCGAGCAGGGCCGATGGAGCTGAGGGCCGTCCTGGCACGGAGGGAGGGCAGGCGAGTTAGGAGGTGACAGGTTACAGCACGAGGGCTTCCTGCTTAGGAGGTGGCAGTCTGCACACTGGCCACACCGTGCAGACCGAGAGGACTGCTCAGAGCAGTGAGCGGAGTACCCCGGGCGGCTATGACTGCCGGCTTGGCCTCTGGTGAGTCAGTGCTGTCCACGCAGAAGGAGAAGGTGACTTTGGGGAAAGTGCTGAAGAAAGTCCGAGGCTCTGAAGGGTGGGACTAGCCCTGTGAAGGCCCAGGTGCATGAACCCGGCCTGGAGGGACATGGCCTGGAGGGACATGGCCTGGAGGGGGCCCTAGAGGGACACAGGCCTGGAGAGGGACACAGCCTGGAGGGACCCAGCCTGGAGGCACACAGCCTGGAGGGACCCGGCCTGGAGGGACCCAGCCTGGAGGGGGCCCTAGAGGGACACAGCCTGGAAGGAAAGGGCCTGGAGGGACACAGCCTGGAGGGACCCGGCCTGGAGGATCACAGGTTACAGGGAGGTGAGCAGCAGGAGACCTCCGAGTGAGCAACCTGACGCAGGCAGAGGTGTCAGTGTAACCTGGTTAAAGACCTTATTCTAACAGCTGTGCCAGGTCTTCCCTGAGAGAGAGAACTTCCTTTGTGAAAAATGACTCCGCTGTGCTCCTGAGCTCACAGGGAAACCCTGAACAGT